CCCCCCCCCCCCCCCCCCCCACTCCCGTCAGGCGAGAGTAATGACCGGTCTCTAATTATGATTTTAAGGTGTGATCATTATGGGAGCAATTGAGTTTTCTCTTCGAACCCTAAAGTCAACGTTTGAGGTCATAGCTTGCTCTTTAAATCATATAAAGACTGCTGTCTAGCAACGAATCTAAAAGGATAGACTCTACCGCGCCCATTCTGATAAACACCGATATCAACAGCAATCAGAAATAATTATTGAAGGCTTTATCAGTTTCCCACGTTTTAGCACTCAGAGTTAAAGAAGATGATACAAACTTGAGAAAGGAAGCAATGTTAAAATTCATGTTTTCCTTTCTTTTAGGAACCACCTGCCTAACAATGTTGACTGCCTGGCTCAAATTAATGCTATCTGTTGAAAGGTCCAAGCCGCTGACCAAAACAGAACGCTTTACCCAGTGGTCATCTTTACTATACGTCGTTGTGGGCACATCTATGCTTTTTATACCATCCTTGTGGGGATTTTTGTACAAAGTCGTGCTCCTTGGCCGAAGTACAGGCTACATTCAGCTTGGAGGGCTTGCTTTCGTTGTCGAGGGATATTTGCTAGTGATAGCCTCAAAATCTGAGCATAAGTCCCAGGCCATGGCCATATTAACATAACTGTGCTCACAAGACTGATCCTTGTCAACATGTCCTTAACAATCCTGTACTTGAAGGGAACAGCTCCAGTGCGTTGCATTGCGTTTATTGCAGCCCTCGACAATTCCTTGGCTGTTGGTGTTTTTTTGGTTTGGATTTCCACTGAAGAGGGTGCAACCTTGAGTTTGTTTTTCAAGGAGATATTTGGTCTTCTATTACGATTTCCCGTCGGTCCTTGTTCTTGTATCGCGGTTCTCTTGTTAGGAATTGTGCAGTTTCCAGCAGGTCTTTACTTGAAAGACGTAACCCGTTTAAGTCACGCACTCAGCTTGGATCCGTTCTTAGGTTATTCAGGGCTTTTCCTGAGTTTTTACTTCAGCCTGAATGCGGCGCATACAGTACTGTATATCTCCAATGGTCAAGCAGTGAGCACAACGTTCAACAAGGGCTGTGTTTTTTATCGCGTGGCAATCAATATTTTAGTGCTTTTTGTTTTAGGCGCTGCGAATCGGATTGAAACAAGTCTATCCGTTTTCCTGATCAGTGTGGAAATAATCCTCGCTGCATTTATCTTGGTGTCTTTGTCCTGTGACAAAGATAACTATGACCAAGGCAAAGAAAAGTAACAAGTTGGTAGAAAAACCCTTTTAGGAAGGTTTTATTGTGAAATGTAGTTGAATTATAAATATATATCCTTTCAAAAGTCGTCTCCCTCGCGTGATAGTTTGATATTTTTGTCTCTCTGTTTCTGAGAGAAATTTTGTTCCTTTTTTTATTCATTTCTCATAAAATAATTTCCCCTATCCTATTAGAGAAGCCATTTAAAGTAGACCGTACCAGTAAGGTGTCGGGTGTGAAAGTCATGCAACAGCCATGAGTTGTAAACATAGGAATGCACTGTTGATGTTGTTACTCTCATTGTTAACGTTGTTTTAAAAAGTTTTGAATAAATTTCCGCTTTCTATATCCTGCACTAATAAAAAGAGTACGCACCAAAACTTGTATGTTTTTTAATTGCTAGGAAGTCACAAGGTCAATTTAGCCTCCCAGCTCAGAATGGGTTTTTTTATTCTAATTTCATTGGAAATGTGTTAACTGAAAAAAAGTTAATTCGTCATACAATTAATTGAATTATCAAATTAGCTTAGTGAATAGTTATTATTTCCATGAACTACGAATGAATTGTAAAGATATTACGATAAACAGATCAAAGTAACGAGGAGCTCGAGATAGCTCATAGCAAATTACTAATAATTCTTGTCATTTCTCTCAACAACACCTGTTTTATACCATCCTGTGTGGTGTTCCAGTGAAAAACAGAGAAATAAACACGGAAGAGTCATTCAAAGTTTCTCCCCTTTCCACCTCCTTTGGAGAAAGTCATAAGGGATAATGGAAGTGTAAGGAGGGGGGGAAGAGGGGGAGAGAGAGGAGAGGGGGGGAGAGGGGGAGGGTGAAGGAAAGCGTTTGAAGACATCCAGGATAAAGTTTAAGTGCAACAGTATATTGCGTAATTTTCGGCCGATACCAGATCCCGGCCAAAAGGAAGTTGCCCTGATTCAACTTTTCTAATTTCCGCAGAGCGAAATATAAAATCGGTCCATTGTTTTGTTTGGCATTTAAGCGAGGAAACTGCAAATAGCCGTGGAATTTCATTGAGGTGAGTAAAAGTTTAGCAGCCAATGATTACACTTTTCATTGCGGCACACGAAAATACCGCATTTAAAGTATTGCCCCTTTTAATCGTAGTTTTTCGAAGAGCGAAAAGTTGTTTTCAAGGGGTTAGATTAGAAATGAAAGTCACCAGCGTGTCTATCGCCACTAACAAGAATCTGGACCCTTATATAATTTTATAGGTAAATATCTAAGCGACGATTTAAACTTCGTGGAGCAAGTTGACTGCAACCAATAGATACCTTCTCATAGGCTAGTTTTGGAGATTTGAATTAACTGCGGGAGTCGCCCTTGTGACTAATAATCGTTTAATAAATTGATTGATATGACGATGATTTGTCGTGTAGTGATCTCAAACAGT